TCTAAAAACCCCTTGCCCCATCACTTCCTTGAAAATATAAGTATTTGAATCTGTTTTCTTAAGAGCTGAGTTCCTGTTGGTTTCCAAACAACCAATCAGATTTGGAGGCGAATGGATATCAGATTCAAACTTACCACCTCTAAAAACCCCCTGCCCCATCATTTCCCTGAAATAATAACTGTTTGGGTCTATTTTCTTAAGAGCTGAATTCCTATTGGTTTCCAAACAACCAATCAGATTTCGAGACAAATGAACCTCAGATTCGAACTCACCGCCTCTAAAAACCCTCCACCCCATCATTTCCTTGAAAGTATAAGTGTTTGGATCTATTTTTCTAAGAGCTGAATTCCTATTGGTTTCCAAACAACCAATCAGATTTCGAGACAAATGAACCTCAGATTCGAACTCACCGCCTCTAAAAACCCCTGCCCCATCACTTCCTTGAATGTATAAGTGTTTGGGTCTATTTTCCTAAGAGCTGAATTCCTATTGGTTTTCAAACAATTAATCAGATTTCGAGGCAAATGGACACCAGATTCGAACTCACCACCCCTAAAAAAACCCCTGCCCCATCGTTTCCTTGAAAGTATAAGTGTTTGGGTCTATTTTCTTAAGAGCTGAATTCCTATTGGTTTCCAAACAACCAATCAGATTTCGAGACAAATGGACACCAGATTCGAACTCACCATCCTCGAAAACTTCTGGTTCCATATTTCTGTGTGTTCACGAAGTGGTACTCAACAGTACTTCTACAGTACCAAATACTGCAATCTGATTGGTTAGCAATATAGACAGGTTTTTTCCGGGGAAGGACCAACTTTTTTGAAAAAAAAGTAGACGTCGACCTTCCCCTGGGTGAGAGGAACATTCTTGGAAAGTTTGGTTGCATTTGCTCGTACCGTTTGTGAATGCATAGCGAACAGACAAACAGATAAACAGACAAACAGACAAACAGACAAACAGACAAACATTCTTCTTTATATATATAGATCCGTGCATAATTTTACAAAATTGTATTAATTGATAATTAATTTCACGCTCGATTCCTGTTTAAGTTAAGAAACGTCAACCCAATGTACTCACAAGTCCTTAAATAAATATGGTACATAAGCATATAAATTAATTTTTCAAGCAAATTTCCAATGTTTTGTCGTTTCTTTTACTGATTTCTAAAATCTAGTCAATTTTATTAAAAGTTATTCTCCTTGAATTTCGACAATCTAGAGACACCACTAACATAATAATGAATTCTAGATCTGGAAAAATTTGTTTACATTTTTTTTTTATCATGATCTCTAGAAGTGTTTGATTATCCTTGATTAATTAATAAATAAAAATCTTATTTTATAACTTCAGAAAAAGACATAACACATAACTTTCAAAAGCAAAGAGCATTATTTTTTTTGTCACACAAATATTTTTTATGTGTTTTTGATCATATAGAGTTGAATAAAATAAAATAAATTTCCATTTCAATAGCAGTAATAAAAGAACTCATCGTTTATGTATGATTTTTTATCGAATTCTTCTTGTCAATATAAAATGCAATTGATGAGACCGTTACTGGAAAAAAACAACCAAATAGAATAAGAAATTCATTTTCAAACTAACCTTATCAAAATACATGTAAGGAGTAGTAGAAAATGAACAAGAAATTCCTCGAACGAATGCGATTTCTTCCTTTACTTCTTTAATATAGAACAACTTGGATAAAATTGTCATGTACAGTAAACAAACTCATGCCAATTTTTCTTTGTGGGTGTGGAATAATGGACATTGACCTTCACAATCATGTCTACACCCTGCTCTTTACAGCTCTATCCAGAGTTTCCTGATCGTGTGCGCACATAAGAATACAATATATAATATTTATATTTCATTCACTCGCGATATACTTATGAAAGAGATATGTAGAACGCATGTAAACGAAATTAATCATCGTAGTAAGTTTATACGATATTGAATTTTTGTACTCGATGATTTCTCCAATCTGAGGCATAGAGATTGCCTTGTCGATCGAATGATAAGCCCATCGGCTCATCGAATTTATTAGCTTGTTTTTCTTCTCCATTTCCACCAGCAACGATACTTCCTTCTGTGGCTCCTTTTTGCCAACGTATAATTCGATTAAACATTCGATCAGATACATAGACAGTGCCTGATTGATCGACAACCACTCCTTCAGGATAAAATACTTGCATGAGAGTACTTCCTTCATCTTGGCTACCAGCTGCTAGAATGCCTTGTTTTGCACCTTCTTCCCACTTCGTCACACGAAGATTTGAATAATCAGACACATATACTGAATGATATTGATCAACAAATACATGCGAAGGGTTAGAGAGTTGATCAAGATAATTTCCTTTTCCATTGCCACCTGCAACTATTGTCCCTTCATTATCACCTGTTTCATATCGTCTTACTCCATGTTGTTCCGTGTCCACAACATAGAGAAATCCATTCTGATCCATTGTTAAACCGAAGCAAGAGATATTTGAAATAATTGTTTCTCCATACTTACCATTTTGACGAGGCCATCGAACTACTCGCCTGTTCCCATGATCACAGATAATGAGACTATCTCTTACTTTGTCGACAATTACATCATATGGTTTGTTTAATTGATGAGTTTCATTTCCACCCTCATTGCCACCAGCAACTACTTTGCCACTTGTTGCACCATATTTCCATTCCACAATACGATCATTATATTGATCAGCAACATAGACTGTTTGTACATCGTCGACATATATACCAAGTGGGTAAGCAAACTGATTAATTTCAGTACCTCGCCCGTTTCCTCTAGCTACAGAAATACCATTTTGTATCCATGTTGCGTTCGAAGGAATAAAAGTTGCACTTGTACGTAATGGTACTGGAATAAAACAAGCTTATGTGAAGTAGAAATAAAAACCGATTTCATTGAGATGAATGATTCATTTATTTTAAAAACTATTTATTCTTTTCATAGCAACGAACAAGACTATAAAAAAATGCTTCTCTCAATTTCAGAAATGTAATGCATTTTACAATATTGTAAATCGGAAATATTTACGTTGCTTTCTTAGAACATATTTTTTATTTCTTTATCAAAAGGTATATAGCCTTTTTCGATATTTGCTAATCATAAATAAGACTCGATATCGAATTCAATAAGGATTTATTCTTGTTAAAATCATCTTTACCCTTCTCTCACTCTCAGAGTGTAAGTGAACTTCAGATATTCAATCACATTCACACTCTACTTTTGACTATCTTATCGAATATTTTCAAGGAATTCCCATAGGATCTCAGATTTGAAGGGAATCAAATAATCGAAGTTTGATCTGAGATTTTATACTTACAAGGATTTTAACTAGACTAGTCCATGCATAACATATTAGAAGCTTTCCAAGTATAGTAAATAGAACATGAATTTTTTTGAAATTCTATATCTCAAAAGATTTTGTTTAAAAGTACTAAAAATTGCTGCATATGCTAATCCAGTTCAAATCTCTGTAAGTACAAAGTTTTAGAGCAAAGTTCGATCATTTGATTCTCTCGAAACTGGAGATCCTCTCTAGAGCCCTTTTGAAAATAGTTTAATAAATCTGTTTGTGCATATCTTAGTTTTCTCTGTAATAATAAGAAGTCGATGTAGATGCGGATTTGCTGTTTATCTGACTAGAAAAAAGTGTCACGATGATCTCAATATAGATCGTGTCTATCATTTGATGATTTCTAGAAAATAACATGCTTAGTGTTCAAAGACTCATTATCACAGAAAACTAAAGAAGTAAAGTAGTTTCAGTGGACTCGTATATACTAAGTGCTATACATGAAACAACAATATCAATCAAAGTTATTTCTGGCTGCATTCTAACGATTTGTCTAATGATCAACTAAATTAGCTTTTCAGTAATCTTATATCATATGACTGTAAATGATCAAATTTTTTCAGAATTAGAATATAACTCTCTTCATATTTCGAAGTTACATATGTGAATGAAATGCTTCACGACAAAATAATTTGAAAGAATTGAAACGACTGAAATGTGGTTTATATAAATTTAGATGAGACAATTGGAGCAGGAGTTTTCAGAGAACCTGAAATTGTATGTTCTTTTCTTCGAATTCAAGTAAAACAATGTATAACAACTCAATATATGGTATACTAACAAACGAAATTAAATAATAAATTGTATTTTATAGATATGAACAAAATGAAGAAAGCTTCATTTAATAGTAATGAAAAAAACATTAAATTACGCATATTATCCAGTCACTTTTCTTTTACCAATGAAATTTATAGTTAGTTGGATATAATTATTCTACACAAAGAAATTCTTGACATCTGGTCAAAAATGTGTATTTACTAAGAATAAGAAGCGTTAATCTAAAGCTTACCAAACTCTTGATTTGTATCCTTGGCTATAGTTATAGTTGATATCGGCATTGCAGTGGTGATTGTAACATTTGGAGCTAATCATTATCATAAAAACCTTTGTTTAAACAAAGCAGATAGTCTCAAATTTCACATAGAACATGCTATAGAATTTGACACATTTACGTTTTAGATAACGATGACAGACAACGTTCACAGAATCAATTTTTGACTTTATACCGATTTATAATGTATTTCCTAAACTTCATTGAATCTTCAATCACTCCAACAATACTCATCACAGTATCTCTATTACGCTTTGTCTAATTTTCTCAAAGACTTTTCTACTCTTCATTATAATTCGTACACCAACATAAATTTTCTATATGAGGGAACATGATTTGTGAAAAAAATTTTTTACAAGAAAAATACGTGCTTCATCAGAGTTTGCGGATAACTGGTTTTTCTCTTACTCGTTACTGGCGGACAGATTTGTTGACTGATCATTGACACTGGATAACATACAGGAAGATTATGACATCGAGGATGATGAACACAGATATGTTCGAATTCATAACAGCGGTTGTTTTTACTTTCACATGAAGTCAACTCAGAACATGGTATATCTTCAAAACCACAAATACCATGATCAGCAACACCGTCTATATGGAAATAGGCACATGCGGTATTCGATGAACACCAATCATATTGAGACATGCCATGGCATAGCTGAGGTTTTACTTGATCTATGAGTATACTAAATGAATAGCAGGGGATTTAAAATGAAACAAAAGTCGAACCTATGAAACTGAAAAGATAAACCATTCAATTTTAGATAGATAAGAAAATAATAAATTTTAAAAATACCTCAATAGAATAAATACAAGAAAATATTTGACTATTGGAACCATCGCTTTTGCTGAAATAAAACAAAGTTAGTTCTCGTCCTATATTTATATATAATGAATAAATGGTGTTTTTCGTATGCACGATATCGTGTTTTAATAAATAGAAAGTTTATCTTAATCTGGAACTTAAATAATTGCTTTTTGCTCTGAAAAGTAATCTGTGAAGAAAAGCAGGTGCTATCTGAGAAATATGTCATGAATTTTGCGATCATTCTGAAAACAAATATTGTTTTTAATCACTTGTTGATTTATTTGTGTCAATGACTCAAAGCAAATTTAAAGACACATTGAAAAAAATATATTTCAAATTTTTATTATAGAATGCTTGCAGCGGATTGCATCTTAATCAAATCAAAGTCATCTTTCACAGCCAATTACATTTATGGTTATTTTTGACTTCATCATCATCACATATCAAGGTTCCCATTGCTCGAATTTTATCGTAAATGTTTACTTCTGACATAAATATGTTCATTTTCAAAAGACAATCTACTTTGAAATAGCAACGACGCCGGTGTAGATGTAACTTTAGTAGTGCTAAAATTTCATCCTCATATCCAAACAAAAATTTTCAAAGTAGTGGTAAAATTAGAAACGTTACTGTTAGAAGTTAGTTAGCATACTCAACAGTGCTGGCTTAAGGCATAGCTTAAATAATGATGTCATCAACATATTATCTTATAGAAAGCTTGAAGAAATCTTCTCTTTTTACGACCTCATAGCATTTATGAACTTAATCAAACGAAGTTTTGCTAATCCATCAAATGAATGTTTACTTTTTGACAAGAGCAAATACGAATAATAAAGGGTGTGGATGTGGATGTGTTAATGTTCTCATAACTATATGCACATTGACACCACACCCACACCCACACCCACACACCCACACACCCACACACCCACACACCCACACACCCACACACCCACACACCCACACCCCCCACCCACACCCACACACCCTCACCCACCCACACCCAGATGTTTTGGTACCATTTTTGTGTTGACATTTATGGCACCTAGGAAGTGGGAAATCGTTGTATGAAAAATGCATTTTTACTCTAGAGACTCAGCTCTATCCGATAGAAGAACAACCGGGTTTCGATCATGTTTTGTCAGATTACAGTCGAACTCAACATTTGTCTCACTACTTTTGCATCGTGCATTATTCATCACTTTCATCTACATCTATTGCATCCGCACTCTCACACGTGATCCTAAGAAGTCCCAATTCTCTTCAGTCAATGCTATTACTGAAACAGTTACACCTTTCTCTAGTTTCGATCCTAAACTACTTTTGATTAGGCTGTTACATACATAAGTACCAGTATTTCTTGTTTTCTTAAAGCTGTCTGACTTTGATTTGAGAATACGGTTTCACACTCTCACTCTCAACAAAATTTGTTGACACTAAAAATTTCTTTTAACTGAAAGGATATGGTTCACAATGCATTTATTTCAAATTCACCCTTACTGCGTTGCAATTATTATCTAGAAGCGATTCTATAACTGTCAACTGTTCTTTCTTCTGGTCAATTCTGCGCTCACAGTCAATCAATTGTTCATCATCTTCTGTCAGTCGTACTAATGAAGGACGATTGCCGCACCAGACCAGAGTAAGTCCGTGTTCCAAGAGCAGCTTCTTGCTCAGTCGAGCGTGTTTCAATCCCTCAGTCAAATGTTCATAAGCTGCAACATATTGCTGTGTGTCAATAAAACAGTCAGCCACGGAGAAGTGACTTTCCGCTAAAGATCTGCTTTTTCTGCCCCACAAATAAGCATCACTCATATCATTTGTCACTTCTGTCAGCTTGTATTCGTGCTGTAATAAGTAATATTTAAGTTTTAAAGTGGCATCTTGCTTATGATCGGTACAGATTGTCACCATTTTCTTGAGCATATCGATCAATTCGTGGGACCAAGTGTGCCGTCTCACTTCACGGTTCTCGTCCAACAAGTAAAGATTCACTGCTTTCTCATAGTTGCTCAATGCATCGTCATACTGATGAATGTCTGTGTACATATCTGCCAACTTCCCCAACTGAAGGGCGATTTTCAACGAAGTCGATTGAGCAGAATTCGATAGTAGCATCAGTTCCATCCACTCTTTTTGATAAATGATTGCCTTCGAGCCGTATCCTATCAGATCAGCATTTCTTGATAAATTCCGACACACCTGAACTAATTGACTTAAAATACTCACTCTTGCGTAATCTGTAACCGCCGTACCGCATATCGGTAAGGCCAGTTCGTAGAAGTGCAATGCCTGCTCCCAGTAATAAACTGATAAAGCCTTCTGATTCTCTACGCTGTACCCAAATAATTCTCCCAGAGCAAAATAACTCTGAGCGATATTAAAGTAGCCATTCAGTTCGCCACTGTGAGGGCAACACGATTGCCAAATTGCAATCGCTTGTTCATGGTACTCCACCACCCTGTGGTAATCATCATTATTGTTCTCGGATTCGAGCATAGCCAGACAGTAGAATTTGTTGGCGGTAAACCAGTTTCGTTCTCTTAGATATAGGTCAGCAAGGATGTCGAACACCAGCTGAACATCTTCAACAGAAACCATTTCCACTATCTCGCTTAGAGCGTCGACACAGTTTTTCACGGTTTTCCTAGCTGAGTTGGGAACCTCTAATTGTCTGCTGCTGTAGATATCATCATCGGAAAGGAGTTTTAACTTCACTAACCAGTATGGTGTTGAGGATTCGTTGACAACATTCACTTCTTCGTGGAGACTCTCAAGAAGAAAGCGCGTGGTTATCATGAATAACGTTTCTCGTTCGTGGGCGTAGAAGCTAATTTGCGATATATCAGCAAAGGGAGGACAGACTATTCTATAATCAATTTCTATTTCGAACAGTACACGTTCGACGCCTGGTTCTATCGATGACGATAACATGAAACTAAGAGCCATATCGCGATCAGTTGATGACGAGAACAGGCTGTTGCAGCGAACGGGAAAACCAACTTCTAACTTCTGCAAGTCGTTGCTCGAGAGAACTTGACCCCGGTAAACGGTGGTCACTGGATTTTTAAGCTGTTGCCTTTGTTTGTAATGTTCGGATTTCAGTTGTCGGTGCAAATCCTGGAGAAAGGATCCGAAGAGCAGAAGTACTCGGGCATTTTTCTGTCTGACCGCCCGATTGAGAACTCTGTAGAAATAGCTCGACTGAGAATACCACCACACTGCTCGTCTCTGCGAAAGGAACTCTTTGCGAAACTTTTCAAGAATGGCCCCATTAAAGTCGTGTTTCTGGAACTCATTCACCAGTTGGTGATGATAATTTTCCGGATATGGCAGACTAACTACTACATTGATCAAGTTTCGCCACCACGAACAGTAATTGTCATCAATGCTTTTCTCCGGTGTCCAGCGCACATCGCTGAACGTTCCAGCTTTTTCGTGTTGGAGATATTGTTGCAGATCGTCCTTGATCGCCACCAGGAGAGAATCGAGTTCTCGATGTACTGAGCATCTGTTGTCCTAAAAAACAATTTTCGAATTTTAATCACTTTTTACTTCAGGAATCCGAACATTGCTCACCGAATTGTATTCTTCAAGCCACTCGAATTGATTGTGCCAATCCCCTTTACAGTATATATACAGTTTCCATACCTTTACTTTCGTGAAAGGACGTAGTTCTAGAACGAGCTGTTCGGCGTAAGCAGTAGAACAAACGAGAAATGTGAACATATTAGCATTTCTCGTCTGGATGTAATCCGAGCATGTTCTCCAGTGATCGAACGCTCTTGTATGATTCACAAGCTCGCGAAACTGCGTTAAAGTGCGGAAAAGTTCTTCTTCGTTGATATCAATGTCCCCGAGCTGTTGATCCGTCCATAGTAACTGGTGTGATTCAAGATTCACTTCAGTTCGATCGAAATACGATTGCCATTCCAGTGGAAAAGAAGGATGATAATGGTTCGCTTCTACTGACATTTTCGCACGATTTACTCAGCGTTGTGATAATTTGCCTTTATGTGAAGAATAAGGTGTCAAGAGATGAATGGATTGAAAAGTGAGTAGAACAGTAGCAATGACACTTTCTTTGTGTTAATATTCTCACTGATATACAGGATGATTCCCCTATTTTTACTAAGTTTTCTTCAGTTTATTATATTTCTACAGAACGTCAGAAATTTTTTTATTTCGATATGATTAGATAGAGCATTGATTACTCTATCCAATGATATAGCTTTCATTTGATTTATCTCATGTGTTGGTTAAAAAATGAGTAAGTTTCGTGAAGCAAGCAAAAAAAATTTTTTTTTCTGTGGAATTTTGAGATGTTTTCTTCGACTAATTCGAGTAATTATAACGTATTGGACAAATGAATATATTTCATTTTTATATAGTTAGATAGAGAATTCATTTCTCTATCAAACTATATATTTTTTATCAATTTATTTTCCACTTTGACTGAAAATTTAGTGAATGTTTCACAAATTTTTTTGATAAAAGTTCAATTATTTGTCTTTGTCGAGTAAATTATAATCGTCTAGCTATATCAATCTTTTCCATTAATATACAGTTGGATAGAGCAACAATTTCTCTATTGATTCATGCAGTTTTAGTCTGATTTAGTTATAAAATCTTATAGCTAAATTTGAGATTATATGAATAGCCTGAAAATGAACTACTGCGAAAATGTCTAAAATTCCAATAGTAAAATTTTATTTTCTCTTTGAATTCAAAACAGTTTCATTCAATACTTGGTGCAACTTTAAGTTTGAAGGATCTCTTCCATTTAAGGCTAATTTCGCGATAATCGAATTTGGCCTGAGTTAAGTATACGTTTGCAAAAGTTTTTTTTAGCTAGTTTTAGAAATTTTTAAATTTTTTAGTCAAGACATGTGATAAAACAAATGAAAAATATACCGTTGGACAGGGTAATCAATGCTCTATCTAATGATATAGAAATGAAAAAATTTGTGACGTTTTGTAGAAATACAATAAACTGAAGAAAACTAGTAAAAATAGGGGAATCATCCTGTACATGCTTTTCTTCTTTTCTTATCTCTCCTTATGTTATACTTTAAAAAACAAGTAACATTCGTCGCTTCGACTCGCTTAACTCTCGACTAGAATGAATGAATGATGAAGAAAACTGCTCATTGACTATTATATCACATTCAATAGTTTATCGTAATATCAAGTTTGTCCAGCCATATAGGTTGTAATACTAGGATGTGGGTGTGGGTGTGGGTGTGGGTGTGGGTGTGGGTGTGGGTGTGGGTGTGTGGGTGTGTGGGTGTGGGTGTGGGTGTGGGTGGGTGTAGGGTGTGGGTGTGGATGTGGGTGTGGGGTGTGGGTCAGTGTTGCCACCTTTTGAAGTCCGAAAAGCAGAAAATACTTTGCAAAAAGCAGAAAATAACAGAAGTTTTATCATCGAAAACCAGAAAGACAGCAGAAAGTATGTTTATGATATGAAACTAACGGGTAGCTTGTAATAAAAGAGGGTCTCAGTATTTTGTTAACATCTTAAGTGTTATCTTATCGCTCACGCTTTATTTTTTTATCAAAAGATTCACCGTCTACTTCTGCGCAAATTGCATATTTCGTTGTAAAAATACTTATTTCTTTCTCTTTCGATATCACCACAATTTAAAAACAGCACTGCACACAACTTTCAAAATCTCTGTTTTTTTCACTTTTTTCCGAAAACATCCAGTCCTTAGATTAGTCTTATTATCATTGGTCATGCCATATTCTTTGTCCAGAAATAAAATAAAATGCCTTTACTACGTGGATTGAAATGAACCAGTTTATCTCTTGAGTGGTGAACAAATTATACCCAAAGTAACAGAATTAATTGAGAAACTGGACATTTTGGAAAAAGATTGAAAAAAAATGAAGACTTTGAAAGTTGTATGCAATGCTTGTTTTAAATCATGATGATGTTGAAAGAGAAATAAGTGTTTTTTCAGCGAAATATACCAATCTCTGCAGAGTCAGACGGTGAATCTTTCGACAAAAAAATAAAGCGTGAGCGATAAGATAACGCTTAAGATGTTAACAAAATACTGAGATCCTCTTTTATTACGAGCTATCCGTTAGTTTTAAATTTTAGTTTCAGCATACTAATCACTTGGATTGTATGGCATCACAAAACACAACTAATTAACAAATAGACAGAATCGTTGAACACGTTTTCTTTTTAAAGAGTATTCTTCATCTGACGTGAGTTAAGAGCTTTTGATAAATCTTTTTTACCTAATAAATATTTATCCATTACAGTATGTGATAAGGAGAAATTCAAAATAATTGTTGATTAAATCATAGCATTTAAAAGCTTTTTGTTTCTTATTGTTTATAAGATTATCAATATTAGCTTTTTATTAGCAAGATTCGGGAAACTGTTGTTGACGAACGATAAATGTTAGTTGAGACGGATCAAATTTATATTCTTTTAAAGATCATTAATATTTCACGGCTTTGAACGATTCTCTGTTGAAGATAACTCTCTTCAGTTTCTGTTTTCTGGCTTAACTCCTGATGACATAATTATTGCTTCAGCAACTACCACTCCTTTGTGAATACCATCTTCGCTAGTCGAGCTGTCATTATCATCCAGAGCTGTTTTTTTTGTTCCTTTTCTCTCACTGATCATATTAATTATTCATGTTCATTGAGTAAACAAACGAAAGAATGTATATGTTGATGTATATGAATTACATGAGTAATTAAAATACGATAGAAAACCATAGATAAAGAATTGATTTAAAGCCAAATATATAGGTTGGTAGTTGTTTGTAGTCAGTAGAAAATAAAAATTATCTGTATCAAATAGAAAGAATTAGAATGGCACAAAAAAATCAATAGTTTTTGATACGGTTTTTTTAATAATTATGAAAACAAAGGTATTTCAACTGAAAAATGCTGATTGAAATAATAAATAACACCGTATCAAAAAAAGCAAAAAAATCTTGAAAAAGCAGAAACGACAGAAAAAAAACAGAAAAAACTTCAAAAAGCAGAATTTTTCTGCTAAAAGCAGAAGAGGTGGCAACTCTGGTGTGGGTGTGGTGTGAGGGTCTGGATGCGGGTGTGGGATGTGGATGTGGGTGAGGGTGTGAGTGGGAATGGAACAAAGGACTCACACCCACACCCCACACTCCCACACTCCTACTCCACACTCACACACCTGCCCACCCACATCCATGCCACACTCACAAACCCACACCCACGCCCATACACATCCACACCCACACTCACACCCCACACCCTCAGCCACATCCACACCTACACCCAACCAAAAATTCATTCATTTTGTTATACTTGAAATTCAAGTATAACAAAATGAATGAATTTTTGGTTGCGAAAAAAAAGATCATCAGCTTAAATCTAATAACACCTATATAAATACATTTGTGAGATTTAATCAAAGTCCGAACGTATCATGACATAATCAAAGTCTTTTTTCCTTTCTCTCAAATGAAAATACTTTTTGTGATTTTTTCTTTTACGTCAGTGTGTCATTGCATAAGCAGAGAAGCATATATCATTGGTATGTTGCAATACTTCTTTCTTATCATATAAAAAGGTATTGTCGCAATCTTCTCGAAATCAACCAAAACAAATAATTGAAATTATTCGCTTTTTTTCCAAAAGAAGACTTTCAAATGGACAAAAACCTGAACAAGATAAATTTTGAATATATAGGTGTTGATTCAATTGATGAAGAACTTCGATGTTCCATATGTTTTCAACCTTTTTGTTTTCCTGTATATGGTCAACAATGTGGACACACTTTTGTCAACAATGTATTAAAAAATGGCTTGAAAATTCTTCATTATGTCCAACATGTCGTCGTCATGTAAAGATTAGAGATTATAGACCAGTTCAGACACGTGTTGTTCTCAATTAATTATCTCGTCTTCGTATAAAATGTACTTTATGTAAACAAACTAATATTGAAAATCGAAATAAACATGAAGAAATATGTCCAAAACAAATCATTAAATGTACATCATCGGATCTTAAATGTCAATGGACTAGTGAAAGAGATGAATTCAATCTTCATTTACAAACATGTTCTTTTACACAAATTCGTCCAATTATTGATCAATTATTAAATCAATTAGAAACACTACAAAAAAGTCAAATTGAACAACGAAATTTTATTCAAGCATTTATTAATAATGGATATACATTATCTCGCATTTGTACAGAATGTTGTTGTTATCTTAAATTGCCACGTATACTAGATCAATCAAATGTTATGACTTGTTCTCTATGCAATGAAAAGATAGAATCGGAACAAATAGCTGTACATTCATGTCTTACTTTGAATTGTATATGTAAATCTTGCTTTGCTAAACAAACTCCAAAAATAACACCGTCAAGTTACAAACGAAAATTATCATTGTCGGAAGAAATTAATAATAATAGTGATGATAGCGATGGTTTTATCAGCGACTAGAAATCCTTACCCTCGAAATTCAGGATTGTATTTATATGAAATGTTATTACAAATGTTCATCCACGACATGTTAAACAATTAATTGAAGGAAATCTTCAATATGCAAAAGAACGTTTTAATCAAATGTCAAGTTGATTCTTTTTAAAATAATATTCGATTAAAAAAAGAACCTAGAAATAATAAAAAAGTAGACAAATATCGAAGAAACAAACTTTCGTTTATTTCAATAGTAAAGAATGAATATTTTTGTCTCATGAAAAAAATTGATAAATAAAGCAATAATTGAGAGTTTCATTATTTCAAACAATCGAAGTTCTTGCAAAATTTGTTTAATACGATGCTCGGTCTTTATTATTTCGTCAAAAATTTTCCTATCAATCGAAATTATTTTTCCATAATTTGTATTTAGTCAATTCTCCATCTGTTTCTCTGATTGAGCTCCATTTTCTGCTGATATATAATTAAATTACTCGTAAATTAAATGAAATACAGAAGACACTGTAGTAAGTTTATCTTACTATAATTTTTTTAACAAAATGGGCAAATGTTTACATATGTCGATATTTCCTCACGAAAATCGGTTTGAGTGTTTCGAGAGTTCTATAAATCAACAAAAACCACTCTCTTCGACATATCCAGAAAGTTTTCAACTGCTATTTCATAACAAATTATTGTTATAAAAGGGTGTGGGCGCATTGCAAGTAAAGAGCATCCACACCCACACCCACACCCACCCACACCCACACCCACACCCACACCCACACCCACACCCACACCCACACCCACACC